ACCTGAGTCATCAGCTCACCATCCAGGCGGATTTATTTGGGGAAATGTTCCCAAGGTTGGGACCGGAGAATGGGAAGAGTGAGACGGAGCATGGACATCTGGGGTTCAGTCTTCCTGGGGACTTTATGACAAGTTGTGTACAATATCTGCAATGTACAATGAAAGAAGAGGAAATATTTATCTTTGCCTCCTGTTCCTTATTGGCAAGAGATTTTCCACAGCAGTGACAAGGAAAATTTGCGGCAAAAAGACACCTAGTGCAGCTGAGGTGAGGACGTGTACGTTTACATCTCAGGGTAAAACAGCGGGCCTGGATGATGTGAACATCCTAGATTTTACTAACTGTCAGTTCTGAAAGATCGGTAATAATTCCAGGAGGCAAATGGAATTTAACCACCAAAGCATCCATTTAAAAAAAAAAAAAAGACTCTTCCATTTCTTTAAGAGTCTTACTTGTATTGGTTTAAAGAAATATGCCCAAACGGGCGCCTGAGTGGCTCAGTTGATTAAGCATCTCGCTCTTGGTCTCAGCTCAGGTCATGATCTCAAGGTTCGTGAGTTCCAGAACCTACCACCCACCCCCCTCCTCCCTGCCTGCTTGAGATTCAATCTCTCCCTCATCTCTCTCTGCCCCCCCTCACTCACTCTCTTTGTCTCTCTCAAAATAAATAAACTTAAAAAAAAAATGAATGGGCATAAAACCTTGACGTTTAACTCTTGCAGAAGTAATTGACTTAGAGAAGCACATGTTCAAACAAGAGAATGGATTTCTTTATTGTGTGTAGGCCATAGCACAACTGTGCTTATAAATATTTCTGCATTTTGGATGAGAAAGATTTTATGGATTTAAGTGGCATATTAAAGAAAAAAAAAAAAAAAAACCAGAAAGGAACCCTTCCTTTTTACCTCATTCTCAAAAACAAGCGATGTTAAGTCATTCCTGGAAGTTTAATTCTACACAAGCTACAAGAGTTCACTACTTATTGACATGCTCCATTTACTTCTCTCTCTATATATATTTTTTGGCAACTTCTGTAGATAAATTGGAGTTTCTGATGTCCCTGAACACCCTCATTTACATCAGCTTTCAGTCGGGTCTGGAGATCATTACAGCAAACACACTTTCTGTTTTTCTTTAGTTACATGAAGTTGAGAGATTTGTACAGTATGACTTGTGCTGAAGTCAAACTATATCAGTCTATAAAACGTGATGAAGCATTCAAACTGGGGTAGCAGATATTTCAGATTTTCATACCTGAGCAAATATGAACTCAACAAAAGTTCATTTTTTTTCTAAGAAGCTACCAGTAAAGCATGCACATCCACTGATTTCATTCTGGTGGTCTTTGAAATTGATTGATACAGAGAAACAAAAGTTTTTTAAAGACAACCTTTTTAATTTGAAGTACTTTTCAGTTTACAAAATTTGTAAAAAATAGTACAGTTTCTGTGTACCCTTCACTCAGTTTCCCAGGTTGCAAAGACTTGACATCAACAGGGAACATTTACCAAAGCTAAAAAACCAACACTGTCACATTATTCTTTTTTAAGTTTATTCATTTGTGGGGGGTGGGGGTGAAGAGGCAGAGAGAGAGGGAGACATAGAATCCAAAGCAGACTCCAGGCTCTGAGCTGTCAGCACAGAACCTGAAGCAGGGCTCAAACCCACAAACTGTGAGATCATGACCTGAGCTGAAGTCAGACGCTTAACCAACCGAGCCACCCAGGCGCCCCGGCACATTATTACTATTATTAATGAAAAGTCCAGACTTGATTGGATTTTCCCAGATTTTCCACTTATTGTCCACTTTCTGCTCCAGGACCTAACTCAGGATGCCACCCTGCAGTGAGTTATGTCTCAAACTTCCCTCTGAACTGTGACGGTTTCTGAGTCTTTCCTTATTTGTCATGACCCTGACATTTTTGAAGAGTTCTAGTCAGCCTTTTAATATTCCTCAACTTAGGTTTGAAGGATGTTTTCTCATGATTGGATAGAGTTATGAATTTTGGTGGAAAGTACCAAAGAGCCGAAGTGCCCTTTTCATCACATCACATCTGGAGGCACATGATATCCATTTAACATGGGGTGACGCCATTAAACTTTATCCTTTAGTTCAGGGGAGGTTTGCCAGATTTCATGGTCAAATTACTTGGTTTTCAGAATTGGACAATTTAAGAAAATATAACAAGCTATAGGAACAGGTTATTAATAGGAGAGAAAACCATGCAGAAACATGAAACAAAACCATGCAGATGTGTGATCATTTTGGTGTGCTCACATTTGAGAATAAACCATTCAACTAGGGGGATAAGAGTGCTTGGTTTTGGGGGGTTTTTTTGTTTGTTTTGTTTTGTTTGTTTTATGTTTGTTTTTTTTTAAATCACTCCTCTCTGGAAATTCTTAACCACATATCACAGAGCATCTTTATCATAGCACAATGGTTACAAGCCATTATCGCTGAGTGTGAGTCCCAGACTCACTATTCCATCACCTTGGGAAAGTTACTTAACCTCTCTTCCCTTTAGTTTTTATATTTGTAAACTTAATGCCCCATAAACATAACTTTAAAGTCCCATAATAATATTTACTTCACAGGGTTGTATGGAAGATTGAGTGAGTCAATATTTGTAAAAGCCCTAGAAAAGCACCTGCAATTGAGCAGAAAATAAATGTGTGGCACCTTGGGGTATGTGCAGAGGCTTAGGAACTTGCCCATGGTATCTGGCACCTAAATGAAGGAAGTGGCCTGTTTTGTATTTACTCAGAATCCTGTAAACTGTTATTCATTAGCTACTATGTGTTTTGAAGAAAAAAAATCAAATTTTCAGTGACTTCGTTAAAGTTTGCTCTGTAGAACAAACAAAAGTTGAGAGATTATAGAAAAAATAGTCTCTTCATGCTTTTCTGATTTTATAAACTTCATAAAATGAGGTTGTCTTACATTTCCAGGTAGAAACAAAGCAATACACATTTCAAGTTTTAAAGAATACTGTTGGATTACTGGCCAGTGTCCCATCAAATCCCAGAAAACCACACAGACTCAGTTATTCATAAGTTAGTCTCATATTTACAACTTTTAGATTTTTTCCCCCTTCTCACTGCTTAACACAAATTTTAATCTTTCAATTTCCCTGGTTTTTCCTGTCAGGATCATACTGACAAATGTCAGAATGCCTTTAAAGATAGTCATGCATTTGGTAAATCTTTTCCAACAAATGAGATGAAGACTCTTTGAGTCAAACTCCTCATTTTATAGATGACATTTTGAAAATAGGATTATAAAATAAATCAGTGGTAGATCTCAACAATAAAATTTAAAAATCCTGGGTAAGTGTATCTCCTAATACAGTACAGCTGTGCCTTCCTTTCAGGAAACGTAATGCAGAACATTTTAGATGTGATAAGAAAAATTGGGGAGTGAACCTTTCCATTGCAATTTTTTTTTCTTTATAGAAGGACTTACAACAGGTGAGTTTCTGTTGAGGCAATGTTAGGTAAAGTTATTCCTTCCCACTCACCTAACAAACATTTATGAAATGTTTAAGCTGTGCTGGCTCTCACAAATGTTGACTCATTTCTCATAACGATCTTGGGGTAGACAAAGAAATGTTTAACAACTTGCAGGTGCTAGGTGGTTTCGCTGTGTGCTCAGTGGCCGGCCACCTCCTGCAGGCTCATATCCACTATGCTGGGGTATCTGGAGCTCTGTTCTTAGGTACCCATCTCTGGGCCAGAGGCCATTCCTATCTGTTTCCCACTTCCCACACTGGATGCCAAGTCTCCAACAGCTCTGATTCCAACCTGGAGAACTGCACTTAAACCCTCTCTCCCCCTCATATTGAATTCTCAAACTTCTCTAAAACTTCTGGTGACAAAATAGCAAAGGTGTGAGGCTGAAAGACCGAAATTCCTAGTCAGAAAACAGACAAGTCATTGTTGCTAGAGGCGGGGAACCGACTCTGAGGGTTGTGTAGTAACGGGTTTTTGAGTTTGATTTGGCAGTTCATGTTTCGTCTGCACACCTCAGGACTGAGGTGCCCACTGCTGGGGACCATGTGCTGTTTTGTCCCAGGATAGACCAGAAGGGGTGAATTCCAGAGCCTGCCCACCGAGCACCTCCACAGCCTGAGGCTGATGGTCAGTCCTGTATTTCATAGATCACATTTGAACCCCTCATGCATGGAAAAGGAGATTTCCCGCGATTTAGGGAATTCCAACGTTCCGGAGGGTAGAAGGAAGTTCAGCAGGATACCAAAAAAAAAAAAAAAAAAAAAAAAAAGGAAATGTTACAGCCCTCTACATTCACTGAAATACACAGTGGAATCAACTCTAGACACTGATTCTTATGCCCACCAAAAGGAAAACTATATAACCAAGATCATCTAAGTACGACTTGAGAATATACAAGAGAAACAGGTTGAACATTTTTCTCTGGAATCCGAGATGCTGGCTGTATTTTTGAAGGCATTCATTTCAGGCGTATGACATGTTCCAAACGAAATTTAGAGACAGAGAGAATATATAGAGATGGAGGGTAGAGAGCTAAGCCGAATTTACCTCCTCACCGTCTTTAATTCCCCCAAATCTGATCATTAAAGAGACATATCTCTCCTTCCAAAGCTGCCTTGCCACCCCCGTCCAGCGCTCACAGATCAGCCCCCCTCTCCTCGCCCAGCCACCGGGGATCACTGGGCGGCCACGGTCCCCGCACCCCTCCCCCCGCAGTGGCAGCCACCGCGTGGCGGCCACTCACGGCCCTTCGCCGATTGTGGCGGAAGAGGTCTCGGAGCCGCGGGGACACGCGGGCGGGTCCCCCTCCACCCCGGGGGCGGGGCCGCGCGAACCTTCCCGACGCGGGAACGACCTGGGGCGCCGGGAAATTCCCTGCCCCCCGGCGGCGCCCTTCCCCGCGCGGACCCGGGATAAAAGGGGTTCTCCCGGCCCGGGGAGCCACAGAGGCCGCTCCGCCAGCTCTCCGCCAGCTCTCCGCTCCAGCCGCCGCCCCGACTCTCCGAGCTGAGCCCCATGGCCGCCGCCGCGCCCCCCGCCGCGCCCCGCGCTCTCCGGCTCCTCGGCGCCGCGCTGCTGCTCCTGCTCCTGGTCCCCGCCGGCCGGCGCGCCGCAGGTGAGGCCCGGGGACCTCGGGG